TTCTCAATCATTTACTTTGTGGTGGTATCGTCATGGTTTTGTCGCTTCTTTTCATTGCTTCATATTCCTTAAGTTTCTCCAGAACAAGATCAATTTACAACTCATTGCAGGTTGAAGACAGTGAGCTGGCAGATGTGGCAGCTGTTAGTGCAGGAAACAACTATGAAGTAGGAAACATGATTGCTGAAGCTTTGAGCAAGGTGGGTAGGAAGGGTGTGGTGACCCTTGAAGAGGGAAAAAGTGCTGAGAACAGCCTCTATGTTGTAGAAGGAATGCAATTCGATCGTGGTTATATCTCACCTTATTTCGTCACTGACAGTGAGAAAATGGCTGTTGAATATGAGAACTGCAAGGTAATGTGTTCAATTGCTATCACAAGTTTTTTTTTCCCTTCTTTTTACTGGACGATGGAAGTAACTTTTGAACATGTTATTTGTGCAGTTGCTTCTTGTTGATAAAAAAATAACAAATGCAAGGGACCTCATTAACATTTTGGAGGAAGCTATAAGAGGAGGATACCCAGTTATAATCATTGCAGAAGACATTGAACAAGAAGCTCTTGCAACTCTTGTTGTAAACAAGCTTAGGGGAGCTCTAAAGATTGCTGCCCTTAAAGCTCCCGGGTTCGGTGAGCGCAAGAGCCAGTACCTTGACGATATTGCTATTCTGACTGGAGGTATTTTTACATCTATCATTCATTTTTGTTTCATCTTGCCCAAGGTGTCTTGTGCTGTGCTGATAGTATAGTTTTTCTTTCCTGTTTGAATGGGAGGGTGGTATAACATATGAGTCTCTGTTCTTGTTTTCGGATTGTAATGTGATATTGAGATGCTGTTAATTTGCATATAGGAACCGTCATCAGAGAGGAGGTAGGGCTCACATTAGAAAATGTTGGAAAGGAGGTCCTTGGCCATGCTTCGAAAGTGGTGCTTACAAAGGATACCTCCACGATTGTTGGTGATGGAAGTACCCAGGAAGCAGTTAACAAGCGAGTTGCCCAAATTAAGAACCTTATTGAGGTGAAGCCCTCTTTCTCACCTTCTCATCCACGATTGCTTACAGAAGTTGTTTGTAATTCTTTGTTATCATAGTCTAATAGCCTTAATAAGTTAAACTATATATGCAGGCGGCAGAGCAGGACTATGAAAGAGAAAAACTTAATGAAAGGATTGCAAAACTCTCTGGTGGTGTTGCTGTAATTCAGGTTGGTTTCTAAATACTTGTACATAATTTGGATTACAATGTAGTAGCAATGGGAATTCATTTGTATTAACTTTTTCTTGAATATTCGAAGGTTGGAGCACAAACTGAGACAGAGCTGAAAGAAAAGAAACTGAGAGTCGAAGATGCTCTGAATGCAACAAAGGTAAAACAATTCACAACACTAAATCTTTGTAAATTATATCCCTGAAGTTTTGTTACATCTGGTCTTTTGCACATTAAAGAAACCAGCAGAAATTTAAAATTTTTGTAATTGTCCAGGCAGCCGTTGAGGAAGGTATTGTTGTTGGAGGTGGATGCACCCTTCTGAGGTTGGCATCAAAGGTTGATGCAATCAAGGATACTCTTGATAATGATGAAGAAAAGGTAACTTATCTGTTGCTTATTGAACTCCCTCAATCTTTTGAGTTTGGTCAACAGAAGATTCTGACAATGGCAGAAATTGAATTGATTATTGGATATGCAGGATAGAATTTTTTTTTTCTCTTTAGATTTATTTGGTCTGCTCAAGGTTCAAACCATATGGTGAATTACAGGTTGGAGCAGATATAGTTAAAAGAGCTCTTAGTTACCCCCTGAAGTTAATTGCCAAGAATGCTGGTGTAAATGGAAGTGTTGTCAGTGAGAAGGTATTCTTTCGTTTAGCTTTATGTACTATGTTACTATCTGATTTCTATGTATGTTTAATAAGTTGAAATCTCCTTTTTCAGGTGCTTTCCAGTGACAATCCTAAGTACGGATACAATGCTGCTACCGGAAACTATGAAGATTTAATGGCTGCTGGAATTATTGATCCAACCAAGGTGAGTTTCTGTTCTGGAGCTGTCATGTACATCGCGTATACGGATTTGGCAGCGTTTATGCTCTTGGCTATTTGAATGGTGATGAATGAACTGTGTAACTGATCCTGAGTGCTAGTGAAAGACTTAGTTTTGTTGGTTTAGCTGAATTCTCAAGTAATTTAACTGGAAGTGGTAGGTTGGGAGTTAGTGCTATCTTCATAGGTGGTTCCAGATGCCTGATAGGTTGTTTCTAGATAATTTTACTTGATGCATGGGGTACTCTAGCGTGTAGCTGTATTGGATTTGTGTGTGCCTGGAAACTGAGGCTCTACTTCATGTATTGCAGCTAGATTTGCAGTGATTTGAACTGATTTTTGAATTTTGTTTTTCAATGTTCAGGTGGTGAGATGTTGCCTAGAACACGCATCATCTGTTGCAAAAACTTTCTTAATGTCAGACTGTGTAGTTGTTGAGATTAAAGAGCCAGAAGCAGCAGTGCCTGCTGGCAACCCCATGGACAATTCAGGTTTGTAGTTCATCTAAAATAGCCCAAATTCTCTGTTGCTGCCTGTTCTCAGCTTTTCTCTGGCTCAAAATGCAATTGTCCAACTATTTGCTCCAACTGTGACAGGCTACGGGTACTAGAGTTGATCGAGAATAACTAGGATGTGGTGAAGAGGAGTGAACAGGGTCAACCTGGATGAGTGGCAACAAGTTATAAGAATGAAGATAGTAGTTGGAGCCATTTTTTTTATACATAAAAGATTCCGGTGAGACTAGCTTACCGGGAGTGCGGCAGATGTTGAATTGCAGTAGTAGTTCAGTTAAGTGTACGATTCCAATCACTGCAAATATAATTTAAATGGAAGAGATTTTCGTGCTCTGTGTGTGTTTGAATTCTTTTGGACTTTGGTTTTGTTTGGTTTATTTATGAAACTTGAAACCCGGTGTTTGAATTCTTGATGAGCACATGGTGGAATTGCAAATGTTGAAACCAGAAAACAGGGGTTGGTGATGAGATTACGATGCTGCATTGAATGTTTATAAATATATATGGTGATTAGGTGAGCAATCCAGAGTTTATGCGTGTTTTTATATGTGAGAGTTGTGTGGTGTCATAAAGTTATAGTCTGTGTGCTCGCTCGCGTTGCTTCCTCCAGTGGCCTCGAAAAGGAAAAGCTATAAATATCGGATGTGGAAAATAATAGTAATGCAAATGCGTTTGGACTTTTGGACTTGGATGTGCAATGTAAATTGGTTTTGGAAATGCTTTTATTTCTGCAACCGAAACGAAAGAGGATTTTCAATCTGCTAGGTATTCTAACCCTGATTTTTTTGGTTTGTTTGTTTGTTTTTTTAAAAGAAAAAAATAATATTCTAAATTATTCTAATGTATGAGACGAAGGATGGAACTTGAATTCAAGAAACATGCAAGCTACTTTAATGCGAATATGTAGGTATGTATTATGGTGCATGTAAATTGTAATAGAGAAGATGTATAGTTTGGGATTGCAGCTCGCAACCATCGCATAACAATGGAGCGTGGCAGGGCGCTCCACTTGGAATCCGCGGTTGAAGAAGTTGAAGAGGTCAGGACTCATCAGAGCCAACCAACAGAGTTTTTGGCTGAATTACCCATTTTATTTTATTGCTTCCCTTTTTATACTTAGAGTTTATGAGAGAAATAATTACTTCATGAATATTGAAGACGTTATGGAAGGGTGTAAATGGTAAATAGAATTAGCGGTACGAGTCAAGTTGCAACAAACAAACAAACAAACAGTGAACAGTTGAGGAGGATCCGAACGGCCCGCCACCCCACCGTTCCAAGTCTAACTAGAAAGTCACAAATCTTTTGGCCATGTCCACGTATTAAATTCAATATTCTTTTACTCTTCTCCTCCTTCCTCCAATCCAAATCAAATGCCATTAAATTTGACTCCTATTATTATTGTTAAGATTTGAAGGCTGGTGATGCTTGTTTTACTTGACACCCTTATTACATTATTTTTATATTCTTGTTTTCATTAATAGATTATAGCGGTGCGGTGGATGGAGGCTACAACTACTATTATGCTTTTCTCTTTCTTCACTTAAATTATATACTAAATTGAGGCACAAGCTACATAACTTGCTTGCTTGCCGTTTGTGCCCATGGCCTGCCGTCCCTCTAGTCTTTAAGTTTAAACAAACAAAAAGCGCAAGGCAATAGGGCATCGTATGGCATTGCCAATTCATCCTCTTGTAATATCCCCTTTAGTACAGAGAAAGAGAAAGAGAGAGAAAGATGCCCTCCCTCCCTCCCTTTGTATTTTGTTAACATAATTAACCTCTAGGCTCTAGGAGGACGGTGGTGGGTGAAAGTGAAATGCTATATGCTAATCATCCTCTTGTAATGCTGCTGCTACTACTTCAACAACTTTAAGGTTTTTTCTTTTTCTTTTTGGATTTGTTATTTCTACAAGCTTTTTATTATTATTATTTTTCTTTCTAAATATCAGTACAAGCCTACAAGTAGAAGACGACCAAGTCTTCAAGTCAGTAGTTTATTTTTAAAGCAAAAATAAAAAATAAAAAATAAAAAAATAGAAGAAAAAAGAGCATTTATAATAAGAGAACACTTTGAAAAGTGATTACCTACGCAACCCAAAAAGCGTGCCAAAAAGAGAGACTCAGAGAGAGGCAGAGGCAGAAAGCAAAGAACATATAACATGGATCATATAACTAAACAAGAATAAGAGCCATTCCATTCCCACATTCCCATTTTTCCATTCTTTTTTTATGAATTTTCTCTCATTTTTCCGTTTCCATGCATGAAAATGGCAATATGGGTTCGGAGTTGTTGGTTGGTGTGGGTCTCTCTCCTTCTCTCTGTGTGTAGGTGATGTGAGAGAGAGAGTGTGTATGTGAGCGAGTTTGCCAAATGCCATCTCTTTCTTTCTCTCATTGAAAACCTCTCCTTCTTCTTCACGCCGCCTCATTCTCTCTCTCTCTCTCTCTCTCTCTCTCTCTCTCACCAACAACACTTATTAACACACCCGCACACTGTCACTCCCTTTGCACTCCCCTTTTGTTTTAATTTACCAAAAACACCCTCTTTCTCTTCTCCAATTCTCTCCCAAACACTCTCTCTTTGCTCCTCTCTCTGTATATGTCTCTGTTTTCTCTCTCACTCTGATACCACTGCCCCTCATTGCCTTTTTCTCACTCCCACGTACGTCTCTCTTCTTTCTTTCCTTTGTTTCAATCACTTATTGGGTTCTCTTTCTTCTGCATTGTTCTTTCTATTATGTTTGCTCTTGTTTTTTTTTTCTTTCCATATTTCCGATATATCGTTTTGTGAAGTTTTGATATTTTTGTGATTCTGAATTCTGAATTTGGCACTGGCTTCTTGATGATCAGGATCATCTGGGTTTTCTCACATTTGATCAACCATCGAATTTGGGTATGTTTTTCCTTACTTTTTGTTTAATGGGATTTTTCAAAGCAATCCGATTGATCAACCCTTTTCTTTGCTTTGTACGTAAGAATCGAGGAAAATGTGTTTTTTATATATTAATTGTTGAATTTCTGTGATGATCCTAATGGTTTTGATGCATTTTGTGGACTCTGTTTTCGGACTGGGGATTGGCATTAATTGATTTTGCGGTCTACAAATTATCTCATGCTTACATAAGTCTTTGCGTTGTCTATGCTGTGTTTTTTTTTTCCTTTGCAACATTCACTTATGGGTAGGGAGATTTTGATGGCAAGAGCCTATTTTTCGGTTGCAACATTCATTAAAAATGTTACATTTTTATGATCATTTGCTCTAGTCAAAGTGATTTTTATTAGATTGCCGATTTTTGTATTTCATATTGAAATTCTGGGTGTTTATATTTGTAAACTGTGAGTTGTAATTTGCATAAATATTCTAGGATTATGTTTAGTATTGGATGGCTTTGAGTGACGTTGGTGTTGCATTTGCTGAATTTTGTACTTATGTCATGTGTGGTTCTTTTGAGGTATAAAGAAAATCTTGCTGAATTGAAGGGTTTATCTGTGGAGTTGGCTTGCCTGCTAGTGCTTGCTCTGTTTGCCAGAGGGCATTCTTAAACAGACTGTGAATACGATATGGAAGAAGGAAGAACTGAACTAGAGTTTGATGAATTTGAGAAGCTTCTTGGTGAGATACCAAATGCTACTTCTGTGAACCCACATTCTGAGGAATCTAGAACTAAAAGTGTGTCTCTGAATGGAAGCTTGTCTCCCATCTGTGTGAACTCCTACAAACGGCCTTTAAGTGAGAAACTCCATAACAACGGCAGGCGGAATGAGGGAAAGAACTCAGTGAAGAAAATTCTGAAATCACCAGCGGAAAGGGGTCAACCAGAGGTGACAAATCTGCCTGATGACCGATCCTTAACATCTGCATTTGCAGGACTGAGCTTTGATGGTGGGGTCACTATGGAAGCTGGAAGTTACGAGGAAACTTGTAAATCCATGCAGAACTTATCCTTTTCATTGAATGGCCAAATCCCAAACAGCTTAAAGACACATATTTCCGATTCAGATACTCCAGTCATGGTCGTTCCCTCATTCCAAGCACCAAATAACACACCTTGTGGCTTTTATGAGTTTGATGTGACAAACATAGGCCAAGAAAGTTCAAATATGTCAAAATTCAATTCTGAAGAGCTTAAGAAACCCCAGGTTGTCTATTCACAGCCTATGGAAAATTTATCTTCTGCTGTTCCTCTAGCTCACACAGTGCAAGGTTTTCAGTTCCTCTCTAATGTGCCTGGCCCTGGTCTGCAGTTTCCTCTAACATCTGATCCGCAGCAATTCTTTCTGGACGCACAATCTCGTATTCCTTACCTACGTTCACAACAGTTGAACCAGAATCAAGTTAGTTGGAGGAATATGGAAGAGGAACAATATTATAGGATGCAGCAAAGATATGTGTACATGCAGCAGCTTCATGATCAGCGGTTCGAAGCTCAGCATCTGGTTCAAGGAAGTGGGAATATTGCAAGCAGGCTAACATGTCCAAACCCCAGGCATACACATTTTGAGGTGCCAATCTCCCATCGGCTCGAACAATCTAATCAAGAACGAGTTAGGAACAATTATGTGATTCCCAGGGGTCCACACCAATCAAATCCTGCCCTTTCTTACACAGATTTTAATGGGATTCAAGTTTTTGACAAGGTGGGGAAACAGAGTTTTCCTGAGAAGATTCTAACAAGATCACATGGAATGAACACACTTAAGGCTGTGAAGTTTGGTGCTGTTGGAGCAGATGAATCACTTGCTCATGTTCACAATGGCAAAGTTCTCTCAAATGGTCATTTCCGGCATACCTTATCTACTCAAAACACTGGATGTTTTCAGTTGGATAGTTTGAGCACATGGGGTATGTTCCCTAGTTTGATGCACCTTAAGAATACAGATATGAAGGCACTGCCTCAGAAATATACCGACATGAAGGCATTGCCTCAGAAATATAACTCCATGGATGAAATTACTGGTAGAATTTATCTCATGGCTAAGGACCAGCATGGTTGTCGCTTCTTACAAAGAAAATTTTCTGAAGGCGCCCAAAAGGATGTTGAGAATATTTTCTTTGAAATAATAGATCACATTGTTGAGCTCATGACAGATCCTTTTGGGAATTACCTCATCCAGAAGCTGCTTGAAGTGTGTGGCGAGGTTCAGAAAATGCAAATTCTTCATTCAATCACTAAAAAGCCGGGGGAACTTGTTAGGATTTCATGTGATATGCATGGGTGTGTGTGTGTGTGTGTTTTAATTTCTCCAGAGTCAATTTTTTCTTTATTACTATTTGATATGATAAAATTGGGAATTCTTCCCAACTACAGGACTCGGGCTGTTCAAAAGGTTATTGAAACCCTCAAAACTCCGGAGCAGTTTTCCATGGTCGTTTCCTCCCTAAAGCCAGGGATAGTGACTTTGATAAAAAACACAAATGGCAACCATGTTGCACAACGCTGCTTGCAGTATTTAACGCCTGAATATCGTGAGGTAAAAGATATCGATTCGTGCGTTGAATTATTTTTGAAGTTTACAAATACATGGATGTTGCTGATATGATGATGTTTTCTTTTTCTGCGCAATGATGCAAGCAGGCTAATTTATCTGTACATCGTCTTATCTGGGTACAAGCACATAAAATATTAAGAGAAGGATAAGAAAACTTTTTAAGTACTCTTAGTTATCTTTACATACGATTGAGTTTAATTATATCATTACTCAAGTCAACTGCTTTGTATACTTAGCCATCACCCCGTGATTTTGCTCAAATTTCTTTTTGGTTTTACTTAGTCTCTCATTTAAGATTTTCATCTAGTGGAAGAGGCTTTTTCTCAGGGGTGGGGTGAGGGGATGCTCTTCACAACTTGGAATGGCTTTCATTAGGCTAATTAAGTGTAACAAAGCCAGGACTTCCTTTTACAATAAGATCACTTCTTCGTATCAGTAGTGGTGGTGGTGGTAGTAGTAGTGGTAGTAGCAGCAGCAGCAGCAGCAGTAGCAATAAGATCACTTCTTCTTTGTATCAATAGTAGACCAGCGGTAGGAGTAGCAGCAGCAGCAGCAGTAGTATGGGACTTTTCCTTTTCCTTGTACATAGAGCATTAGATGCTAAACTGATAAGACCAGATCACCGGCTCTTGATTTATCATCCGGAGTGGTCATTCTGCTTGGATGGGTTTTTGTCTCCTTTGCTTATATAATGTAGCAGCACAATGATTTGATGTTCCTATATTCTTGGTTTAAATCTTATTATCCTACAGTATTAGTCAATTTAGAATTTAAAGAAATATTATACCATGGAATGAAAGAATGACATTGGTTTCTTTTGCAGTTTCTTTTTGAAGCTGCAACTACTAATTGTGTAGAGCTTGCAACGGATCGCCATGGCTGTTGTGTGCTACAAAAATGCCTTAGCCATTCTGATGCTGAACAAAGAAACCGATTAATCTGCGAGATCACTTCGAATGCTCTAATCCTTTCCCAAGATCCATTTGGGTACTCTCTTTTTCTCATTTCTCTTCAATATCCTTGATATGATGTGTTCTTAGCATGGCAACAGATCTGTGCCATTATTTACTACACTTCATCAGGGAGATATTTGGATTTACTTCTTTCAATACGCCATCTCAAAGAAGTGTATTGACATGGCGATAAAAAAGCATAGATTAGCTTGTAGAGAGAGATGCATAATAACCAATCTCGGTGGATGCCATGACTAGTGATGAAAAAAAAATGTGTATGTGCTGCTTTTCCTTTTTCCTCTTTTCTGAGGAAAACAATATTGGCAATAACCAAGTAATGTAGATATTAAGTTTTAATGTTTGATTTATAAAGATCGATACTGATTTGGCTTAGGTCTGTGCAATGTAGTGAGTTTTGACCTGCGGCTGGTTTTCCAAACATGTCTTGCGTGTGGTTTTACTCTTGGAAACCAGTGCTCCGTGGAAGCGTAGGCTTGTTTAGATTGTCTCTGAAAGATTGAATAGAGTAATAAACCCCACACAAAACAGCTTTTATTACACTAGAGTTCATTCAAATATGTTTAACAAGCATCAATTACTAGTTTTCAAATCCAAGTTTGGATGTACAACTTTGAGCAAAGAATGTCATTGTTTTTTTCATTTTGCAGGAACTATGTTGTGCAATTTGTCTTTGAACTTCAGCTTCCATGGGCAACTGTAGATATTCTTGACCAGTTGGAGGGTAATTATGGGGATTTGTCTGTGCAGAAGTATAGCAGTAATGTGGTTGAAAAAAGCCTGAAATATGCAGGTGAAGAGCGGCGCATACGCATTGTTCAGGAGCTGATAGAAAATCCGCGCTTGGATCAAATCATGCAAGACCCTTATGGCAATTATGTTATCCAAGCAGCACTCAGTCAATCAAAGGTTAGTAAATGCATTGGAGCTAGATTTTCTTGGCGATTATGCTAATCCTGTTTGTTTTTTTTTTTTTTTTTTTTTTTGGGGTTGTAGTGACATTTCTTTATAGTTGCCCTCCTGAAATTCTCTTCTATATGATTTATTAGGTGATATGGTTAAAGATTATAATTATTGCTCCTTGTAGAGGAAAATTGTAACAGCTAGTCATATTATTGCTCTTCTACTACAAAAAACTATCTGATGTTAACATGGTGGTTCCAAGTTTATTTTAGTGGAATGCATCTTTGTTGTGTTAAAATGATTAGGTGTTCTGTGCTTTATGAGCAGGGAACTTTTCATTCTAAACTGATGGATGCAATAAAACCTCATGTGCCTGTGCTTCGGACCAGTCCTTACGGGAAGAAAATCCTCTCTAGCAATATTTTGAAGAAATAATCTGTTGGTATTATCACAATATCTTCTTTGACATATCATTCAAGCTTGTTCAATTTTCATTTCTTTGTTGGGTATTCACAACTGAAGCTTTTCTTTCTGCCACTGTAGGTTTTAATTCTTTGAAAGAATTCCTGTAAATCTGTAATAAGCAGATGATCAAAAGTCTTAAGCTTAGCATTATTGCTTATGGTTTTTTTTAGATATGAAGACCAAAGATCCCTTTAAGTTCTTATGGTTTTTTTTCTTCTTAAGCTTAGCACTATTGCTTATGGTTTTTCTTTCAGCAGGTTTTGACTACGTCAGAGCAATCTCGCATTACACGAGATCCATATGTTTGTAGATAAGCGGCTTCTTTTTGTTCCTTTATTTTTGCATAGAATAAAAGCAGTGTGAAGATGTAGAGTTGTTTGAGCTATGGAGAAGTGTACCATGGTTGAGTGTCTTGGCTGAAGCCGTAGCTAGTTGGATGGTGTCAAGATGGAGCAATTGGAAGTTATCTGTTTTTTCATGTGAGACATTTTAGCAATGTAAATCTAACATCTATAGATTACCATAATGAGCTTCATCTATAGATTGCCATAATGAGCTTCAGCTATGATTGTGTGTGTGTATATAATTATATATGAGTATTCAGGAACATAATGTTCTAATTTAAATGATAATGACTTAGCATGCAAGTGAAGCTTTTTTCTTTTCTTTTTTTAAAAGAAAAGAAAAGAAAAGAAAAGAAAAGAAAAAGCTAACTGCTACAACTTAGCATGCAGTTTCCATTCCATCTGCTGCTGCCAGAACGTAAAAACCTTTCACTTCAGTCTTTCGTGTGCTGAAATAAGGCAATTACGGTGGCAGAACGCGCAACACAACACACAACGTTACCATAAAGGGTCCATTTTGTCAGCCACCCATAAAAGTGAAACGTGGCCTCACACCCTTGAATTGAAGACAACGGCCTATTAGAGCCACTAGTCATTCACTTGTAATCCAAACCTTTTTCTTTGAGACCAAACAAATGGAATTTTCATTCCAAATTTCAGCAGCTCCAACTCCAAGATCTTCTCCTTCAACATTCAGCTAAAACAAGCAAACTAGCTCCAAGGCAGAACAAAGACCATGTCTTTAGCTTCAACTAGTCACCTCTCTCTCTGTTCTTCACCACCCTTGCCAAGAACGGCTTCAACCAAGCAGAACCCACTTCTGTTTTCTCAAACCAAGCTTCTTTCATCCAAGAATTGGTCATGCCTGAGCACTTCAACCTGTTTTCTAAATACCCAATTGGTAAAGCTGTCAATTTTCGTCGTAAAAGCATCGGAAACTGAGTCTCAAACATCGAAACCAGCAGCAGAAAGTGGAAGTGAAGAAGGAGGAGAGGAAGCATTTGAAGAATATGAGGTAGAAGTGGTGCAGCCTTATGGGCTGAAATTTGCCAAGGGTCGAGATGGTGGAACTTACATTGATGCGATTGCAGCTGGTGGATCTGCTGATAAAATTGGCAAGTTCAGTGTTGGGGATAAAGTACTTGCAACCAGGTTTGCGCTTAGATTCGTCTTCCCCTTCGAATTTGTCCTAGCTTTGCAGCTTGTAGTAAACCATGCTTATTGCTTGACTTGTATGATATGTTTGCTGAATGAATACTTAAGCATGTGGCTTGGTTTGCATAAGGAGGATCCATATTTTTGTAGCGACTTTCTTTTTAAATGTCTAGACCTTTCATTTATCATGGTCTTGTCTTCAATGGTTCACCAATAAATTCATGGAACAAGATGTTGGGTAATCAGAGATATGAAGAGGCGCTCTGCTTCTTCCAATTAAGTTGGAAACAAATACTTCATGGGTTTTGCGATTAGTCTATACTATAGGTAACTCATTTGAAGTCCATATCATTGCTTCCACAAACTGTCAACACATTCCTGTGTATCTCAGTTTCTTGAGGGGTTAGATGTTGCTATACGATTAACTTAGTACTTTGGATTTGCTTAAATTTTTCTTCTTCTTCTGAGAATGTAATTAAGGAGTGCCTGTTTGGAAATGTGATCAAAGATTTCTAAAATGCATGCAGTGCAGTTTTCGGGGATGAAATATGGGCTGCTGCTGAATATGGGAGGACAATGTACACCATTCGCCAGAGGGTCGGTCCACTTCTAATGAGAATGCAGAAGAGAAACGGTTAGTAGCTCATCCTCTACCACAATCTTACCTTCAAGTAAAATACGCACTCGTACACTCATGTACAACGAAAAACAAGGTTATTAGGGTGTTGAATCACACAAAAACTATAAAAACAATTTGTTCAAGTTCAAGGTTCATTTCCCTTAAATCAATATTTTGTAACATTGTCTGATGTCTTCAACAAATTTATTTATTTCCAGGCAAGATAGATAATTCAGGTGAATTAACAGAAAAGGAGATTATCAGAGCTGAAAGGAATTCTGGTGTAATTAGCAACAAAGTGAGGGAAATCCAAGTGAGTGAATCATTGTTTCAGTTGCCAATATAAACAATGCCGAATTGTTTCTTCCTTATACAAGAGAGATATAGAGATATTTCTAGAAATGACCTCCAATGTAGTCTCTATATGTTTGTAAATGACTTCAGATGCAAAACTACTTGAAGAAAAAGGAACAAAAAGCAAGGAGGGAAAGTGACCTTCGAGAAGGGCTGCAGCTTTACAAGTATGCAGCTTGATCTTATATTTCACTCTCTCCTCGTAGGAAGTCTAACTTTCAGATAAGTTTAATCTCACTGGCAAAAAATTTTCTTTGTTCTTTTATTGGTTGATAAAGGAAAGCCAAATATGAGGAAGCATTGGAGAAATTTGAGTCTGTACTAGGATTAAAACCAGAGTTAGATGAAGCTTCGGTGGCAAGTTACAATGTTGCTTGTTGTTATTCTAAGCTTAATCAGGTATTGCTCTTGTTTGAATGAACAAGGAACTATTATTACCATTGATCGTTTTGCTTCAGCATTTCTCTTGGTTTTGGCATTGGGAGGTTTAATCAACACACCAACTTGCCACTAGTTTTGAGGTCGATAGTCAATGATCAGTAACATCTATTTTACCATTTCTCAGTATGCTTATTTCTACTTGCAGTTAGCTCAACCTTGAAAAATATTTCCACCTGAGTTAACCTATATTTTTATTTATCTGTCTACAGCTAAACATCACAGGTTAAAGATTTAATGAAGGATGTTCTCACTTTTCCTATTCATTTATGTCTTCAACTAACTGCTTTATTTACATTCCAATTCTTTAAACAGATACAAGCTGGTCTCTCTGCACTTGAGGATGCCCTGAAAGCTGGCTTTGAAGACTTCAAGGTAACATACCAATTTTTGAGAATACCATGGTTTGTTACATAGATCTTCTTATGAAATTATTATTATTGTTGACAGAGAATCCGGACTGATCCTGACCTAGCCAATGTAAGAGCATCTGAGGAATTTGATCCTCTATTGAAAAGATTTGACGAATCATTCATCAATGAGAATGCCATCAATGCCATAAAATCTATATTTGGAATTTTCAACAAGAAATAGAGTCACGAGTTACTTCGGAAATTAAAGGACTTGAGCTGGTGTGCGTTTGAGCTTACTACGAAGTCAACAAAGGGATTGACTAAGCCATCAGCCATCTGATGCTTCAGACGGATCAGTTTCGCAAGTATCAATTTGTTCATGGCTTTAGTTTTGGATGAGTTTTGAATAGATTTTTGTTTACTGTATGTATTTCCATTTTTTTTAATCTCTGATGAGAGTCTTCTATTTGTAATTTGCAAGAATTGAAGATAGAAGGAAACTTAAGAGGGTTACGAAAAGTTTCGTATCAGCTTCCTCAATACTTGACATTTTGCCACTAACGACATGCATGCACAGAGTCAGACACGTGCTAATCCTTGACATTAAACGTTTATTGGAGTTTTAGAACTATAAAAAATAAAATTGAGCCAGCAAATTCATCAGTACATTCCTTGCAATAGCATATCCATGCTTATGTTGTTCTATCACATCATACGTCTAGTTATGCTGTTGGCTGTAGCAACAAAGATGTTTACTGGCAGAAATTAGAAAAAAAATGGCTGTCATTACACCCTCTAGCTGTACATTTCCTCATGTGATATGAGTTTAAAGTTCACAGATTTTATGTGCATCTTGACCATTTTAAAGCATGACTCTGCCGGAACATTAAGCATCTAAATGACAAAACAACAACTTGATAAAGTTTCAGAACATGTGTGAAATTTCATAACCAGAGGAACACAATGTTGTTGTGTAAGATAAAATACACAGCTTAACATTCTTCTAAAGCAAGAGTGAATATCGACTCTATTGAATTCTCATAAAACAGTCTCTTGTGAGAGCTGGTAAGGCGAAATTGACTAAAACTGAATTTCAATCACTGTGGCTCTGTTCAAATTTTAGACTCATTGGGTGGATATATGTTTCTCCTTCTTTCTCTTGTAGTTCATGCAGTTGCTTTAGGAATTTGCAGAGTGGAAGCTGATTAAGAGGGTCATAAAATAACACAAATGCAGCCTCTTTTGTTGTCTTCATTGTCAGTATCTTCTAGTTCACTGTTGAAGAAACAGAAGTTACATAGTAATTAGATGAGAAACCAAAACCACTCCGGGATATGAATATGTATTAGCAATAAAGATGACAGTGAACTAGAAGATACTGACAAGAAGACGACAACAGAAGTGTATTAGCAATAGAAAAGGCGCAAGCCTATCTCAGCGTGTTTCTTTAGTCCTATGGACAACATCATCTATAATCTGCTTAATTGAACTGCCTCCAATTGAGCCAAAGTAATGATAGGATCAAAGGTGCCTCCTTGTCTCCGGTTGACCCCATGTCTTTTGTCATCATGGAAGATCACTGCAATCTATCTAACCCCCAACATTGAACCATTTACCTATTGTAATCAAAGACTTCTCTCTCAATCTTCACCTTTGTTATTTCTCATGCTAGAAACCTCTTCACAC